AGGAAGGAAGTGGGGAGAGAGCTGTCACACTGTGGGGACTGCGTTCAATGTCGTGAAACAGAACGTGTATGGGCAGTTGAAAGGAAAACTAGTTTGCTTTCTAAACTCTTCACCCAAATCATAACAAAAACTAAAAAACAAAGAGAAAGAGCAATCACGGGACGGTAAAGGCCTCTGGGTGCTCTGTGGAAAAAGGGTGAAGAGGCGCAGAGGCCCCGGAAGAAAGACTTGGACATTTGTTCCCATCAAGACTGCGGTCAGGAAAAGTCAGTGTCCCGTGGGGAAGCCTGCTCAGAGCCGACTCCGGGGCAGTGGGTTTTGGCACTTGTTCTCTGTCCCCCGGGGAAGCCTGGGTCAGAGCCACCTCTGGGGCAGTGGGTTTTTGGCACAGAACAGTGGATGACCCTCCCCTTAGACGTCCCAGTTTCTAAGACAGGAGAGAGATGCTGGGCAGCAGAATTCCCCCAGAGCCCCAGGCTGGGGGTGGAGGGCCAGGGCATCCTTCCTGGTAACTGGGGGTGGTGTTCTAGTTAACAGACGAGCTGCAACTAAACTGAGGACACATCTGAAGACGTGTGACCTTGGAAGCCCATGCCAAGGTGCAGAGTTCCAGTAAGCGGGGCACAGCGGCGGCTCGGTAACCGCTAACATACATGTGGGTGCGGGGAGTACTCCAGGAGGAAACTGGATTCATTTTGAGAACATACTCAGGAGATGCAGACAGGAACATGACAATGTAGAACAGACCACTTCTTATTCAAATGTCTGTGGGTGGGCCCCTGGCTGTGGGTGGGGCCAGGACTGAAGGCCATGCCCCGTTTCCCTGATGACTTACACACACATAAAGGGGAGGAACTGCCCAGACACTTGACACTCACTTCAGATGGAAAAAAAGGGAGCGGAGAGGCAGAGGGAAACCTTACCAAGAAATGAATGTGGTGTTGGCGAAGAATACTGAACGCTCCGTGAGCTCCCAGAAGAACTACCCAATCTGTCTCAGAACAAGTATGCCCAGACCGCTCTTTAGAAGCAAAGGGGGTGAAAGTAGCCTCCCATACTTTGGACATGTTGTCAGGAGGGACCAGTCCCTGGAGAAGGACATCATGCTTGGCAAAGGAGAGGGCCAGCGAAAAAGAGGAAGCCCCTCAGCAAGATGGACCGACAGACACAGTGGCTGCAACAATGGGCTCAAACACAGCAGCCATTGTGAGGACGACGCAGGACCAGGCAGTGTTTCGCTCTGCTGTACGTGGGGCTGCAGTAAGTCAGAACCGATTTGACAGCATGTGACGCAGTTGACTGCTAACCGGAAGGCTGGGGGTTCAACCCACCAGCCACTCCTCGGAAGGAAGGTTGGGCTATCTACTTCCATAGTGATGCTGCCTCGGCAACCCAAGGAGGACTCGCTGAGTCGGTCCGACTCGACGGCACAAAACAACAACAACAACAAAGCTGCCGAGGATGGC